AATAATTTAATAATAATATCTATAATATATTATAAGTATAAATAAAACTTACATGAGATTTAAAACTTTTATTAATTACTACATCAAGTGGTTGCAGCTTAGATGTCAATCCACTAGGAATTACAGCTATATTGGTTTCTTTTTCTTTAAGTTTTTGTTTAACAGAATCAACTAAGTGCTCACGAAAAGAATCCAAAACAAGAAGTGATCTAGGATTTGATGATAAATCAATGATTCTTTTAGACCAGATATTTTATACCCACCAGTTCATTTCATTTTCATTAACCCATCCTTTTTCATTTGTTCTAACAAATATGCCATCTGAAAAAGTTTCTCAAAGTATGTTTTTTAATTTGAAAATAACAACAGGTGGTAATTTTGATCCATCAGCCATACAACTTAAAATAACTGTAAAGGTACTTCTTTCATGACCTGTAGATTTAATATTAATAGAATTAGAATCGCATTTTTCTAAGGTATATGAATTAGGTAAATCAAAAGCTACAGGTGTTTCATCCATGTTTCTAATAAATTTTAGTGGATAATCATGCTGTATTCTTCTATATAAGATAAAACTTAAAAAACTTTGCTGCTTTTCAAGTGAATCTTCTAGTAAATATTGAGATACTGTTGTTCTTCGTCTATTTGAAAGATCATAATTAACTATAAAACAATCCATCCATTTACTTGAAAATTTAAAGGAAAAAATATTTGGATATTTTTCTTGGTAATTATCAGTTTGTGCAAGTTCTTTAATCTTTTTTATTGCCATATTTCTAGTAATTGGCAAACTTTGTGTGCGACAATCTAAAATCCACTTTGCTAACTCTTGCTCTAAATTTGAAAAGAATGGCTTGGCTGTCTACCACTATGCAACTTTAATAAATAAGGTGCTGAAGCTTTAAGTTGATCTTTTTTACGTCTCCAGTCATGAACCTGACTTAGTTGTAAGCCAAAATGACTTGCAATTACACAAACGCTACCAGACCAGTTCAAAAAATGTAAAACCATTAGCTTTTCACGAACATACTATTGTTGTTTTTTTAAGAGTTATTCTAGAACGAGAAGTTCTTTTATTTCTTTTAACAACCATTATTAGGAGGTCTAACTATAAATGCTAAGCAACACAAAGTGAAACGTGTTACAAATTTTTTATTTTATACCATGATCAACATAGCACATTTGATTCATACAAGATACCCCTGATTAAACTACCCAGGTATTTTGCAAATATAGGGGTGAATTTGTAAAAAACTGGAGTAGTTTAGTCAGTGCTTTATGGTAATTTGATCAACATTTACCAAATACAGAACTGTTTTACAATATTTCATATATAACTGAATACGTGAACATTTAGACTAATAAATGTTAGATACTGGTTAATCAATCTGTCAGTTGACGTTAATCATGCCTAAATACTGGATTTGAAAAACAAGTGAATGCAAATGAAGTCAGGGATTGACAGAAACTTGACCTTCGCTGATAGGTCTGTAATGGATACTGTCTCATGTCTTTAAATTTATGGATCCTTACACAAGTAAAGAAGTGATTAACCAGTAATTAGTAGATTAGATACCTTCTTCGGGTAGGCTATGGTGATAATAAACTGCATTACACGCTGCAATACATCCAATTGAACTATTATTAGGGTAGAGGCTGAGTTCAATTCCTAGGTGAATTTGACGTTATGGGTACAAAACTACCATCTATGTAAAGGACCCAATCCCACGGTCTCAGTAGTCATCAATAGGTAAAACCCTATAAATTAGATTGGTAAAAATAGGGTATGACAAGCTCTATGATTAAAGTGTACCCTCTATCCAAAGATGATAGTACCTGGCGGTCTAGTAAACTTGTAATTGCGAGTATAGCTATTACAGGTAGTCTATACTAGGTGGCAACTGGCGGGGATGTGCTTCTAGTGCTGGGTTGCTGTACCCTTAATTGTGGATCAGAGACTTAAAAGGCTAGCTTCGAAAGTAAGATTAACTTGGTTAACAAGTTCTTCTCTAGCGGGGCCTTTAGCCAGTATACATTAATAGAAAAAAAAAAAAAAAAAACTGTTTTACAATGTTTTATGATTATCAAGAACTTATGACAATAAGCTACTATTTCCTTTGCTAAGGTATCAATATGACTGTTTTTAATAATATTAAAGGCTAATTCATTCTCAAAGACCTTGTTTATATGCATCTTTATATAGCTACTACTGAAGAAATTCAATTTCGTTTCAAATTTACCCTCAAACTTACCAACTTGGGTAATCCTAAAGTCCATTCAAACTATCAAAATCTTCAATATGCTTTGTTCACTTCGCGTTAAAGCAAGATCTATATGCTGTAGTTAATAGAAATCAAATAATATTAGACTATAAATAACTCATTTAGACTCAACCTGACACTAAGCTCTATACATATTGTACTACGCCTAAACATGATTCTCATTCTTGTCAAAATAAACGTGCTGCATCCCAAGATCAACAAACACAAAATTTATACTAAAGATTTAAACCTGCTTAATTTAAAAATTATTCTGCTTCTTCTAAATCGGTTAGACCCTTCTTTGCCAAGGATGATGAGTACATGTTTGATCCTAAAAACCCTCAATCATTTGCCAATAAAACTCGTCCTGTCAAACCTCCTGCTGACAAACCTCCTGTCATTTCCACTCACTCCAAACCCCACTTACTCATAACAATCTCACATCTCATTCCTAAACGATTCCATTCATACTAACAAATCCTAGTCTGATCAAGTAAAAGATAATTATCTGTTATCAAAATAACAGAGACAATTAATCTAACTGGAGATCATTTGACGCTACAAAGATTATGCTCAAATTAGATGCGCTTACAGACACTCTTGCTAAAATCCATAACAATCTCACATTCACAGTTCATCATCTTAATACTGTTAAACGTCATCTAAATATCTTTACAATTACTCCTGAAAAAGCTGCAAAACTAAATGCCATCAACAAAGGCAAAAGAAAAGCTGCTATAAAGATTAATGAATCACAATATGAAGAGGGATAGATACCTCTGAATCTAAAATCACAGAATACGAAAATAAAATTGAATGGCTTGCTCAAGAAAATGAAGAACTACGGCTAAGCAATAAATAAAACATGGAAAAGCTTAACACTGCTTTCGAAGCTGTAGCCCACATCCAAAAATTGTATATGGAAAATCTAACAAAACATTCAGCATACCTATTCCTCAATTAAACAAACCAGACGCTATATATATTAATGAAAATGGCTCTAGCTCTACCCATCCTGATATCTTTTTCTAATTAATTTATATGAAATTTTACAAATAATTATACCAATCACAAATTCACTCCACTTTCTTTAATATTACAACTCACAATACTTGTTCTTTGTTAGACCTACTCAAACAACAATTCTTATTTAACCTTTATTTTATTAACCATTTAGACATTATTGCATTATAAGAAACAAATTTCACTACATTCTTTCATTATTTCCTCCTCAAAAAGATTTGCAATAACAATTTTGTATTATTCTTTTCTGTTGATGTAGATACCTGATGCTCTGGTTTTGTCATAGGATTTCTTGTTAAGAAATACCTTGCTAACCATATTTTCCATCATTCATCTTACTTTAATCAAATCTTTTGTCTTGACCTTCAATTCAAAAACAAAAACAAATTCTGTGTTATTAATATTTACCTGCCTAGTTCTGATGAACACCTCTGTTTAAAAACAATTTAACAGATGCGTACTATTATAGATGAAGCTACTCATGCTATATTATTTAGCCTCATTGCAAGCATAGGGAAAGTCTAAATTTAGTGATCATCATTATATAATTATTTATATGCGTTTTATAATAAAATTTAATTAAATTATGATCAACCATATGACAAGCCATAAATATTACTAAGTAATACATAACGAAACTGTTCTCTAAAGCTATTTCCTTCGCTAAAGTCAATAACATCCAATGACATTCGATGTTTCAGAGAGTTTTATATGAAGCATTTTCTTTAATTAAAGAAATATATCGATAACCTTGGTAAATTTAAACTGAAATTTCAAAAGTTATTCTAAAAAGAGTATTTAATTTTTAAAAAATTAAAATTTATTTTGAATTCTTTAAAATAAAGTTCTTTATTAATCTAATAAGAAATTTATTTATTATATTACAGGTAATATTACCAAGTATTAACGTGACTAAGTGCATTTATAAATTCTGTATGCACTTCTTGACTCCTATTTGCTTCTACTTCTTCCACTGCCTTATTTTTTTCTTCTATTGGAGTTGCATCTTGTTCATCAGAGGTAAGAATATTTGGACCTTTTTCTAATCGATCTAAAAAAGAATTCACATTAACTATAAATTCCACATTTATAATATTCCTCACAATGTCGACATCCATATTCTATTATTTGATAATATTCAAAATGATAACCATGCCCACAGATTAATACTTCGCCTTCATCAAGTTTTTATGGCAATGATTACAAGAATCTGGTAATGGGACTATATTAGCACTATATCCTGTTGGAAGACATCTTGAATCAATGGTCTCTTTTAAGGTAGCTAATTGACATTGTATTTTTTTCTTTGATTTATATAATTTACTTTTTTCGTGATTCTTGTAAATTTCTTTAAAATTGTCTAATAAAAACAATAATGTTTTTTTTTGTTAAAATGTCTAATGCTGATAGCTTGTAAGGATATATCTTAAATTTTTGAAAAGTATCTTTAAGTTCATAATGGTCTCATCATCTAATACAACCATATGGAAATCAGATGATATTACAAATGTATATTATATAAAATAAGCAAATAGAAAAAAAAATACCAATCACATAAGCTTGTTTTATAATATTGTCAACATTGCTATTTATAGGTGTGTGAGCTCTTATTTTACTATGCATATTCTCAACATAATAATCGTTAAAATTAACTAAAAATAATTTTACAGTTTCAGCAAAAGGATGATTTGTATCTTACCAGTAAAAAATGTCTGATAAGAAGGCTAATGATACTTTATTGTAATTATGCCTTTTCCATCAAAGTGCAAATGTCCATATTCGAAAAATTGTTTCTATATACTCATTAAATGAGCCTGATCAAAATAGAATTGAATACACATCCAAAGTTGCTAATTTTATACCATCCATTATATGCTAAATCAAGTAGCAAATTTATTCTCCAAGGTTTAGGTTTCTTTGCCAATAC